ATGTCTCTTGAGGCATTGCTTGACAGCTGCCACAGATCCTGATGGGGCAAGCCACAGTTGGAATGTGTGCCAACCCTTATTAGCAGGACTATGGGTGAACATTATCCACATTCTATCTATGGCCATGTTGCCACACAGTCTAAGTCTAGAAGTAAATAATGGAAGCACAAAGCACTTTCTAGGTTCCATATATATATATATATCACATAATCATCCTGGAGTAGATACTCGTCGAATGGAATGCACACTTAAAAGCACTCTCCAAAAACTGGCCCCCCCCACCCATATCTATATATATATAGATGGAATATTGTGATAGATAGGCATACCACACCAATCCAAATATATATATATATATCATATATATATATATATTTATTACACAAAATTATGTGGATGGATGCTGGTGTAAAGCTGCGTACAAAACAGGAGTTAGAATGCTTCCGACCTCCAAACCGCCAGTCAGCAGCCCACACCAGGAAAAATATCTATGACTTACACAAAATTATGTGGATGTAGATTGATATAAACCTGAACAGAAAACACAGGAGTTAGAATGCTTCCGACCTCCAAACCGCCAGTCAGCCAACTGCTCTTCGGTGATGAACCCTCTCGGTAACCAGGCATACCACACCAATCTTCCTGACCTTGGATGCACAGCTGTCATTTGAGACTGAAACTGTTCCCCTGGAAACCAAGGCCAAAAAAGCAAATCCATCTCCCTCCCAAGAAAAAAGGCCAAAGAACTCAAACTTGCCCAATGATTGGAGTGCATAGGCGTCTGCCTGCAGGGAAGTCATAATTGAAGTCTTGGTTGATGGAGTCGACTGAATGGAAAGATCAAGTTCATCGAGCTGCCTCCGGATGTCAAAGCTGGCGCTCCATCGTGCAGCGCAGGCGTTGAATGCATATGTCAGCTGATGCATGTGATGATGCCAGCCGTCGTTTGGCCCTCCGGCCGCGCCCCATCCGCCAGGGATTTGGCAGTTGGGGCTGTCGCCGCAGATGATCTCCTAAGTGGCAATGTTTAGCCTTTTCCATATTTCTATAATACTATGTATATATACAGTAGATAAAAATAATCCGGGGTACCTACTAAACACTACTGGAATTAAATAGGTGGACCGGATTAAACTCTACTGGAATCCAGGAGTATGTACACATAGAATGTCTGTTTGTTGGGCTGACACCAAGGTTCCACGTTGTGCTGACTCATCCAGGCCAACTTAAGGGCCTCAAACTTTTTTTGATGAGTGTTGCGTTGCTTGATCGCAGAGCAATAGAGCCCTGTCCTTCAAAGTCAGCTTCAGTTGCCGTCGCCTCTCACGAAGCTCACCCGCATAGAACTCCAGAAAAGCCATCATGGTCTCTGCCGACCATATGTGTGTTTTGGCATGTAATGGGGCGATGTACAAGGAGTGCTCCAGCTCCTCCAGGGTCATCATTCCTTTGGTTTATTACAGATAGAACAGATAGAATGCCTTCAGATTCCTTCCAACCAACCACTTTTCCTTTTTGTATATGCCCGGACGGGAAGTTAGAATGCCGAAGCACATATTTGAGACGGTGAACAAAAACGGGGCTCCTCGTTCGCTTTCCGTCTCTGGCTTTCTGAGAGGCAGTCGCCACGGGCGGTCACGAATCCCCGTGACACATAGCCATCAGCAAATGATACAGTCGTCAGTGTGTGCGGCAAACGGTACTGCTCGATTGGAGCACTGCCGGCGAGCTTTCCCTGGATCTCTGGTACCATTGCCGAGCAATCCTCATCAGACTTCACCAAGGACTCAGTAAACGGCCGACTCAGGCAACGCTCCACGCAATGCCTCACTTTTCGTAAGCTCAGACTCCGTGCCAATGGATCTACTTCTTCCCCCCCTGCACTGGAGCGTTCGCTTCAGAGGCCTATACAACAAAGACCAAACCTGGTCAAAGTTTGAGACCAACCTGCCATGGACATTTCCGGTCGCTATCTGCTGTTGAACATAGGTCCTGACCCTCAGCATGCTTGGGTGATGAAATGGAAGGTGCCGCCCAGGCTTGCTGTTGCTGGTGGGCAAAAGCCCTGACTTCCTGCATATTCGCTCAGCAACTTTCCTTGCCAGTGCCAAAAGTCCAAGCATGCTGGAAACATCTGGAAACATATACTATCATGGACCAGCACTTAGAATATGACATCCTAAAATTTAGGAATCAAATTTCCTAGTCAACTACACAGATAGAATGCGTATTGAACAAGAACTTCCAAGATTCGCAAAGTTTCCTGAAGACTCTGTCAAATGAATCGGGCGCAAAGAGGCAATCCTTTGGGAAAACTCCTGCAAGTACTCATCGATGTCTTGAGAAGATGAGAATGACTTGTCCATTTGGCTCAGCAAACTTGACGGGTCACGTTCATGGAGCTCATGGATGACTGTGTTCCACTGCTCAATTGCAACCGCCAAGACCGACTTGACAAAGTGGTATGTCACCTCCTCTCCAAAGGATATGCGCTCTGCCTGAGTACGCGGGGGGGGCATTCTATGTGATAATTCCAACACCCAACCCGCTATATATATATATGCACCATTTTCTTGAGACAATCCTGGAAAAGCAATCCTTATATACAAATATGTGTATACATAAATATATATATATATATATAACCTGATTTAATTAACATGGAGTAAGCAGAATGGGAAGGGATGGGAAGGTGTTTGGGGTGTTTTCTGCCTACTCGCTCTCCAAAACACATGCCAAACACAGGGCAAGATGCAACACAATCGGCCACCACCCGTTCAAAGACTGCTGGCAATATGCAAGTCCCAGTCTCTTCACTGCCCTTGCCCTTGCGGAATGTGAACTTCTTGTCCATTTTCAGGATGTCTCTCATCACATTGGGCACCTCTTTCGCTTTCTTCATCAAGCGTGGACAAGTGGAGCAAAGTAGCGTCCATTGGTCCCTCACTCTTTGTTTCTTCCATTTGTAGATGCAGCACCTGTAAAACCCCTTCATTTCGCTGACAGCCTGGGCAGGATTCCTAACCGATCTATCTGCCACTGCCTTGTCGTAGGCTTTCATCCTCAGATTGCATCCAATGTAAACTATGGCAGGGTTGAGGCAGTCATCAAAAAAAACCGTATTTACACAAGCTTGAGACATTTGCATCAACATATTCAATCTTCTGGGACTTTGCACAGGAACCATCAATTTTCAATTTTCCTTGGACACCTTGTATTGTAACACTGGAAGCTAGCAGCTAGAATTAGAATGGGTGGTTGCGCAGATAGAATGCTACAAAACATCTGTCCAGCCAAAGCACAGCTGTTCCTTGTCCCACAGAGTGCTGCACTCTTTCTTGCCTTTGCTGAACTTGCGCATGTCTTTCCCAGGCTTCTTTCGCTGGTAAGGCTTTCTCTTTCTGTTGGCCCTGGCTTTCTTGAAGGTCACCAAAGGTTTGCCATACTCTGGAGCCTTTCTCTTTTTGGAAATGCGCTTGAGCACAACCTGGCCAGTGTGGCTGTGGTCCTTGTCTTCTATGGGACTCGGCGCTGACCCCGTGGAAGAAATCGTGTGCAAAGCACTTGGAGCGGCAGCAATGCCGGCAATCAAAACCACCTGGCAAACTGTGCTGCTGAACGAGTTTCCCATGAGGCTTTGCAGAAGGGTTTTGTTTTGAACTAGGTCTTGGTAGCAATCTTCCGGCATGGTGCTTGGAAAGAAGCCCTGCAGGTTCAGGAAGTCAACCTCTGACAAATACCTTTGAAGGCCAGTACAATAGACCGGGTGGCTGGGGCAAAGGCAAGGACAAACATGCGCTGCGTTGATGAGGCGATGCAGGGAAGTGGAGCAGTCAATGTAGACATTTTGACAACCAGCATGCTTTTCGAGAGCTTTTTCAACCAAAGTAGTCTCTCTGCCCTGCTTGGGTTCTTCCTTCTCAGCTTCTGGAAATAGCTGTTCTGGAGGGAAATGCCAATGTGAACTGCAAGCACTCAATAATCCGGCAAAGTCGCCCGACAGGTCATTGACATGACTCTCACCCGTGATGAGAGCGGCCATGCCCCACACGCGCTGTCTTCGT